TACCACTGAATGGAATGAAACCATACATGGCATGAATGTTCCTTATGAAGTGCTGACCAAGTGTTGCTACTTTGTTGCCGATTTACTGTTCAAGATGGCCACCAGGATATTTTATTAAATAACGGGACCAATATTAATCAAAATTTGGCCTCAATCATTATTTGGGTATCTGTTATGATTTTTATCTATCTTTACATGATTTCTAAAACCAAAGTAGAGTCAGGTGAGCGACACAGGCTCTTGAGAGCCTCTAGTTTCCAATAACATTTGCAATAATACAATTATAACAAAAAATACATTCTTCAAGTTATTTATTAAAAAAATATTGAATTAATAGCATTAATAATTTAATTCAATAATATAGAAAATGTATCATAGATATCGTTTCATGTCTGTGGGAGAAATATGGAAGAGAACAGTTTTTCATTTCTAATTTGGATATAACACAAAATATATGTGCATGTTAGAAGATAACATTTCTCGTCTTCATTACACACGGTATCATCAATCGAATTATCATTTATACAGATTTGTAGTAATGGAATATATACAAGCACCTCTTTTTGATAAATGAGCATTTTCATGTTTTTTCACTAAGTTTTTGGAATTTAAAACATCGTCATATAATTATTTTATATTCAGATCCATGAAATCCAATACATTTTGTCATATTAAAAGTGTAAAATTAAATAAAACAAAAATTGTTGACGTACAATAAAGTGTGATCGATATGCTATATAGAATTGCCACGTGTTCAACACTAAAATCTTGTGTGCGTATGTCAATTAACAATTCTATAACTTGGGTGGGAGTGATTGACCAAAAAAGATATGTTAGAAGATAAAATTTCTCGTCTTCATTACACACGGTATCATCAATCGAATTATCATTTATACAGATTTGTAGTAGTGGAATATATACAAGTACCTCTATTTGATAAATGAGCATTTTCATTTTTTTTTCACTAAGTTTTTGGAATTTAAAACATCGTCATATAATTATTTTATATTCAGATCCATGAAATCCAATACATTTTGTCATATTGAAAGTGTAAAATTAAATAAAACAAAAATTGTTGACGTGCAATAAAGTGCTATATAGAATTGCCACGTGTTCAACACTAAAATCTTGTGTGCGTATGTCAGTTAACAATTCTATAACTTGGGTGGGAGTGATTGACCAAAAATAGATATATGGGAGGCGTAAGCAATCCACATTACGTTTTAACAGGCTAAGCGATAAACTTTGTCCATCAATCACTTACTCATTTAAGATAATAATTTATTTGTGCATAGACGATAAATTAGAATTGATGAAGCAATAAAAATAGCGGTTACCCAATAAAAATAGCGATTACATACACAAGAATTGCGGACAGCTCAGCTGGATGGCTTTATCAGCTACCACACAGAGAACCGTAATCATTGAAATTTTTTTAACGTTATTGTCTATGGGGAATTATGACCACTAGCCAAATAAACGAATACTATGTCTATTTTATAAATCTCATATAAAATTAATAAATTATAGAGATCTCACAATTTTTTTAGCTTTGAAATGGTGTAATAAAATCACTTTATCTTGATATTTACTGTTGTCCCTATCATGTTGAACGTCGGGTTCTCTTTTGGTTGAGATATGTTAAATTACGAGGTATACATATTTTATAAAAAATCATATAAAATTCATTTTTTATTGTAAATCAAATTAACAAATTATACAGTATTGGCAAATAATTTTCCTATCAAATGGTATAAGAATAGTCATTTTAAAATAATGTTTACTGTTGTCCCTAAGCATTTGAAAGTGAAACTTCATTATTTATGATTACGATGTATATTCATTCAACTAAGATTGACCGTATTCAAAGACAAATTGGTCTTGTTATTTAGTTGAATTCTCATTTTTATGATGTGAACTTCTTTTCTAATTACATCCATCATTTTAAATATCTAGTTAGGTTTTAAACAATATATTAATTTCTATTATACCAAAGAGTTCTTTAAACATCAAAATTTTAAAAGTAGTGTGGTTTTGTTGACATCTTGAAGAAAAATCTGCAAAAAGTGTTTTTTTTTTCTTTTTTTTTAAGGCTCTGTCTAATTAATCTTATTTTGATTTGAGTAATTATATTATTATTATCAAATATTTGAATACACAATTGCATGATTGTATTATTGAAAAATAAATGTGGATAGTGTCCACATGTGGACACAGATGATGCCCCCGCTTGCATATCATATAGTTATAAAGGGACATAACTGAAGAACAGTAAAAGTGACGCTACCCAAATTTGAACTTGATCTGACTTTTGTGTGTAAGTCTCATAACATTTGGTTGAGGCTAACTTAAGTAGAGAACAGAAACTAAAAATTTAGCAATTTTTCTATTTATAAAGGGGCATAACTCAATAATAATGGTTAAAGTGACACTACCCAAATTCAACTTGATCTGTGTTTTATCAGTGGAAGTCAAAATTAAACATTGCAATGTATAAAGCATTGTTTGTAGTTGATTCAACTATAATCATGGACAAAGGTAGATAACTCTAATTCTAAAAATAACTTGATATTTAGAAGAAAATAAACATTTTGCAATTTTTTCCATTTATAAAGGGGCATAACTCTAGAACGGTTGAAGTGACGCCACCAATATTCAAACTTGATCTGTGTTTTGTGGTAATAAGCATTGTGTATAAGTTTCATAACATTTGGTTGAGGCAAACTTAACTTAGAGAACAGAAACTAAAAATTTTGCAATTTTTCCATTTATAAAGGGGCATAACTCTAGGACGGTTAAAGTGACGCCACCAAAATTCAAACTTGATCTGTGTTTTGTGATAATAAGCATTGTATATAAGTTTCATAACATTTGGTTGAGGCAAACTTAAGTTAGAGGACGGAAACTAAAAATTTTGCAATTTTTACATTTATAAAGGGGCATAACTCTAGAACGGTTAAAGTGACACCACCAAAATTCAAACTAGATCTGTGTTTTGTGGTAATAAGCCTTGTGTATAAGTTTCATAACATTTGGTTGAGGCAAACTTAAGTTAGAGGACGGAAACTAAAAATTTTGCAATTTTTCCATTTATAAAGGGACATAACTCTAAAACAGTTAAAGTGACGCCACCAAAATTCAAACTTGATCTGTGTTTTGTGGTAATAAGCCTTGTGTATAAGTTTCATAACATTTGGTTGAGGCAAACTTAAGTTAGAGAACGGAAACTAAAAATTTAGCAATTTTTCCATTTATAAAGGGGCATAACTCTTGAACGGTTAAAGTGACGCCACCAAAATTCAAACTTGATCTGTGTTTTGTGGTAATAAGCATTGTGTATAAGTTTCATAACATTTGGTTGAGGCAAACTCAAGTTAGAGGACGGAAACCAATTTTGGGACGTACGGACGGACGTACGTACGTACATACGTACGTACAGACGGACAAGGGTAAAACTTAATGCCCCCTCCGCTACGGCGGGGGCATAAAAATGTCTACGAAATCTGAAAAACTAAATTGAAATAGAAAAGATGACAACGTGTAACTTTTAATGTTATTCAAAACATACAAAATTTTATACAAGTTTTGTATAATGAAAAGGTAAAGGGAATTATATTATTCTTATCATTATAAGAAATGATCAAAGAAGTAAATGCAAGTATTTTGAATGTATACAGTAAGATATCATAGCATCAAAATCATTGTTAGGATATGCTATCTTTATGTTCTCCTTCATACATTAATCTTATTGTTTAGTACAAGGATTTGTATAGTACTATACATCCTTGTTTAGTATATTCACAAAATGTCGTTTAGTAATACAAATGACGAAAAACATCGAAGTCCTTTTTAAGAAAAGCTCCATAATTATCGATCTCAGCTAACATATAAACACGAATGTGTCAATATTTACATAGTATATTGTATAAGCGTCCCATGGTGCCACGGCAAATCCTTTCCGGTGCTGTATCACTATTCAATACCATATGTTACTATTTTATCTTATCATTGAAGTATTATATTGAAAATATAGTAGTCCATGCACAAGAGCTTGTTGGGAGACCCCCTTTTTTTATTTTTTAATATCATAAATTACCCTATAGGCATAACGTCAAAGTGACATCTATTGGCGGGATGTTCGTTGGAGTTATCTATTCTTATCTACTGGACACCAGACGATGAGAACAAGATGGGAACCAGAATAGAAAAGTAACACGAGTTATCTCGCTTTGAAATGTCCGTAATTCTTGTACATGACCGATAAAATTAGCGGTTAACCGGCATATTTATAGCGGTTAACCGACATAAAAGTAGCGGTTAACCGATAAAAATAGCGGTTAACCGATAAAAATAGCGGTTAACCGATAAAAGTAGCGGTTAATCGATGAAAATACCTTTTGAACCAAATGGTACACCATAAGGGAGGGATAAGTTTAAAGAGTACAATGAATATTTCGAGATCCCCATTCGATCTGTTTAATTGATCAATTTCTTTTTTAATGTGACAAGTGAACAAGAAGTTGAGAACTGAAATTACACACGGAGTGCTAAAATCTTTTCATTGTCCCTACTTATCCTCCTTAACACCAACTTGAAAGTATTTTCCGCTACCTATGGGTCAACATTAACTTTAATTTGACCAGTTCACAATGCGACATCAAAGTGTCTACTACAAGGATATGCATACCTCAAAAAGGACACTCTAAATATTTTGAAATGAAATTACTTTCATAGCGAGACGATCGAAGCTTCCATAGAGACAGCAGAGGAACTTACTACAGACTACAAAATATAGAAAACTAGAGACTGACCATGAGCAACTTAAACCAATATACCTGGTAATCTCTATAGTGCTCTACATCTGACACCTGTCGTTTTGGTCATGTTGGTACAAATTTAATAATAAATATAATTTGGCAGGTCACATTCGAGGAAAAGAGCAGCACAATACTCTAAGCGGAATAACTCTGGCTTGGAATTTAGATCAATAAGCTAGTAAGTAGTTGAACATGAAATTTTAATACAAAATGAATGGTTTGATGCGTTGAATAAGTTCGAGTATATTGTTTTTTTTTATTCACTTGCAGGAGCAACCAGGTTCACATTTACACGTTGAAGTACATCCTCCTGCACACGCACAGCTACCTGAAAGTAAGAACACAGTTTTCATCAATATGACAGTTTTATTCAATTTTATTATTTAATTGACACTTCAACAACAGGGACATTTTCTTTTCTATCCTAATATATATGTAATATTAGATCATTGTCAGAAAAATATCAACTTTTTTTTACTTGGAAACTTCTACAGTTTTGTGCTGAATGCAAAAAAAAAAATTCTGACATTGCCCTAATATTGGTTTGAAAATCTAGTACAGAGAGTTATGTAAATTTTTACACAAAAAAAAATAAAACGTATATTTAATTCCTTATTAACGAACACCAAATGGTGAAGAATAGTGACGTGGCATAAAATCCACATTGCACGAAATATCTTTCTGATACTATATTCAGTAGATAAATACAACATGAAGTGTTCTATCTGCAGTATAAAAATCCATACACACAATGGTGTTCACATTAATGATTTAGTTTTTGAAAGCTTAAGCTGTCTTCGCATTTAACCACAGCCCTACCCCCTCCCTCCTCACCCCTTGTTAAACTGCTGTTAGGCCTGTAAAAATTATATATACAGGCCAATAGAATCTAAGTAAAATTTTCACAAAATTCAGCTTCGGGCCTGTAGATTAATAAGTTTATTGTGAAATTTCAGGGCATTTTAAATTTATATCTTAATAAAATGCTCCGCTTGGCGCAGCTTGATACGACCGCAGAGGTCGAACCCTGAACAGTTGGGGCAAGTATGGACACAACATTCAAGCTTGATACAGCTCTGAATTTGGATTGTGATTAAATATTTGACACAGTATAGGTTTCTGACACAGAATGAATGTGGTCTAAGAACTTGAAAAATTTTAATTTACCTGTTATGGTCCAATATCCAAAATCAAAATACATACACGGTTAGATTCAGCATATCAAAGAACCCCAAGAATTCAATTTTTGTTAAAATCAAACTAAGTTTAATTTTTGACCCTTTGGACCTTAATGTAGACCAATTTGAAAACGGGACCAAAAATTAAGAATCTATATACACGGTTAGATTCAGCATATCAAAGAACCCCAATACTAATTTCTATTTTTGATGAAATCAAACCATATCATTATTATTTGCTTTTATATATAAATCAAAAATAACCAACTTAAAATGAAAAATTTTAAAGAAAAAAAAAGGAACTCCCCCCCCCCCATTTTTTTAAACCCCCTTAAGATTCATCACCCCCAAACTCAATCCCAGCCTTCCCTTCGTTGTATGGTACCTTGCAGTACAATTTCAGAGAGATCCATACCCTTACACACAAGTTATTGTCATAAAACTAGAAAAATGCTTGTATTTTGCCCCTTTTTTGGCCCTTAATTCCTAAAATTTTGAGGCAATTACCCCTAAAATTAATCCCAGCCTTCCCTTATGGTACAATGTCAGAGAGATCCACACACTAACACACAAGTTATTGTCTGGAAGTTACAAAAATGCTTATTTTTGGCCCCTAATTCCTCAACTGTTGGTACCATAACCCCAAAATCAATCCCAATCTTCCTTTTGTGGTATTGAACCTTATGGTAACATTTCATAGAGATCCATTAACTTAAACTAAAGTTATTGTGCGAAAACCAATGTGTCTTCGGACGACGACGACGACGACAACGTCATACCAATATATCGTATAATTACTTGAATAATGACTGATATTTTTTAGAAAAAAAATGAAAAATTTAGCAATTTTTCCATTTGTAAAGGGGCATCACTCTAGAACACTAAAAGTGACGCCACCAAAATTCAAACTAGATCTGTGTTTTGTGGTAACAAGCATTGTGTATAAGTTTGATAATATTTGGTTGAGGCAAACTATAGTTAGAGAACGGAAAACAATTTGGGACGTACGGACAGACGTACGTACGTACGGACAAGGGTAAAACTAAATGCCCCCTCCGCTTTGGCGGGGGCATAAAAACAAACAATTTCATACACTCCTCAAAATCACTCGCCCACATATCAAACACTTTACATGTAATTACCAAAGGTGTTTACCATGCCAATTTTATATAAACTTTATTGTTTATCAGTAAATTTAATAAAATTGAGAATGGAAATGGGGAATGTGTCAAAGAGACAACAACCCGACCATAGAACCGACAACAGCAGAAGGTCACCAACAGGTCTTCAATGCAGCGAGAAATTCCCGCACCCGGAGGCGTCCTTCAGCTGACCCCTAAACAAATATATACTAGTTCAGTGATAATGAACGCCATACTAAACTCCAAATTGTACACAAGAAACTAAAATTAAAAATAATACAAGACTAACAAAGGCTAGAAGCTCCTGACTTGGGACAGGCGCAAAAATGCGGCGGGGTTAAACATGTTTATGAGATCTCAACCCTCCCCCTATACCTCTAGCCAATGTAGAAAAGTAAACGCATAACAATACGCACATTAAAATTCAGTTCAAGAGAAGTCCGAGTCTGATGTCAGAAGATGTAACCAAAGAAAATAAACAAAATGACAATAGTATAGTTTTACATGCAATATTTTTAAAACCTGTTAGTTTTAGGATTTTAAAACATGGGCTTTCATATTTTATTGTTAATACTTATATATGTGAATGCATATATGTTGTTAAACGCTTAGGGTAATTTTAATATTATACAATACGCTGTTATAAATACTGTATAATAACAATAATAATAATTTTACAATTGTTTGAACAGATGACTATCCCTTTTACTACCAATATAAAATTAAACCATATATAAAATTAAAACCATATGTGTGTCTACAATAAAATGAAGGCAAACATACCTGAACACTTGCAAGCTACTTTACAACCGGAACATTTACAGTCACCACATCGACAACCCTCACCGCTGCACCCAGTGGCACAGATACAAACATTTGCTGCAAAAAATATATAAATATAAGTCCTGATACAGTACATTTCGATATGTCTAATAGTCATAAAAAATACACTACGTCAAATTTAGTATTTTGTTATATTAATTAAAAGATAAATTATATCAGCTGCATCGACGAAGGAATTATCAATCATTATCTGGCGTAACATCGTAATTCACACCATTTCCAGTTTTCAATTGTCGGTATAAATCAATATTAAAAGTCATTTAAGCAAAATCCAGTTAAGTTTTAAATTTTCTTAAACATAAAATGCATTTGAATTTTATTTATCTAGGGCATGCTTTGTCTCAAAAATTTTCCAAATGCACATGTTTGTCTGTGCTCAGATAATTTTGAGGTGAATACACAGCCATTTTAGCCAAAGGGTCCACATGAACCTTAACATCGGTCATTAAAAAAAGCATATTCTTTCTAGTTACGTGTCAAAAAGAACATTATCGTTATCTTTATTTCTCAACAAACCAAATTACATTGGTATAGAGATACACACAATAAATATTACATAATGTATATGTACAGACATACAAAAATTATACGGAAGCAAGAGGGAGGCATATATCATATATTACGGTATACATATTAAACTAAATGATATCAAGTACATGAATTACCCAGGAGAGCCTAAATGCATATTTATTAGTCTTATAAATTTGCACAAGTTGTTAAGATCAGAAAGATTTTTACTATTCATCAGTTCATTAAATTTCAATGAATTTGGTTGATTTTCTATATCTTTTTCTCAAAAACTGTTTACGACCATTATTGAATACAGAACACATAAAAATATAATGAAATTCATCTCCGATGTCGCCAAAATTACAAAGTAAGCATTTTCTATTTTCTCTTGCAACATTTTGCCATCTACCAGTCTCAATAAGAAATCTATGATTTCCTGTTCTCAATCTACATAATGTAATAATATTTCTATCATCTAAATTTTTAAAATAATATTCAAATTCACAGTTTTCTTTATACATACGATAGTTTATAGCTTTTGGCGATGCTTGAGCTATGTACATTTATATAAACTGCCTTGTTATAAATATAATTTAGGGAATAGAAGTAATGTTAATATGTTCAGAAAAGATTTCATTATTATTTAAATCAATAATAATAGTTTAAACATTTATTACAACAAGTGTAATTTGACATTCTGCTGGAGTTTAAAATAAAGTAACATTTTTGAAAGGTCCTCTTCTAAATTACTGTAAGCTATCATGTTGCATATCATAATGGTGTAGATTAGACAGTTAGAAGTTTAACTTTCAAAATAACAAGCAATGATTTGTAAAATGGGGGAGCTGAAGGCAGTTATTATAGTGAATCTCGTTGTTAAGTTATAACGTGTAAATCGAATTCTATCTTATCGTATTTATATTATCTCACTAGAAAATGAACACTGAATTAAAGTCTAGTAAATCGTTAAATGATACACATAAACTATTCAGCATAAAATATACATTTTTTTAAACATGTACTTACTTTCGCTGCAGTTACAAGGTCCTGGCATTTTTAATTCGTCGTAGTATGTCCTCAGAGTATGTCTAATAAGTTCAATATTCGCGCTTTCGTATTTATATATCGATTCAAAATTATGTGATCCGTGCGCAAAACATGTGTTTGTTGATTGGTTCGTGTGAAAATCCGTGTGCAAATCTGAAGTTCGACATAATATGTTGCGTCATAATAGAGATGACCAGGTCACAGGGGCGGATCCAGCCATTTTTAAAAGGGGGGTTCCCAACCCAGGATAAAGGGGGGTTCCCAACCCAGGATAAAGGGGGGTTCCAACTATATGTCCCCATTCAAATGCATTGATCGTCAAGAAAAAGGGAACCCTACCCCACCCCGTCAAGGGTGACTGGGGAATAGAAATATAGTCTACAGGTCTTCTTCCAATCCGCAGTAAAACCTTTTCCAAAGTGGGCGTCCGTTTGGCAATGCAGGATGTACAAGTACGCAGCTACGTTCGGACAGAATGGGGACGTTAAATCCGATGCCACGTGTAGAGAAATTGTCAAACCGTTACAACAATTATGTGAGGGATCCGTATACGTAGGTGGCCTTTTGCAAGGATAAATTTCTGTCCCTATCCAATATACCCTCGTTTTGCAATGGCAATCTAAACTTACCCAACCTACGGGCTCTATTACATTGTATTTATTGTTAATTTGTTCTCGTCCTAAACATGTATGAACTATTTGCCACTGTACGTTTAGCAACCAACAATAGATCAATCAATCATTCAAGTTTCAAACAAACAAATCTATCAGTTAACAAAACATTCAAGTTTCAAACAAACAAATCTATCAGTTAACAAAAAAAAAGGAAAAAAAAAGATAAAGTATTTTTTACCAGTTAAAAATAATGATTTCGGTTTTTTTTTTTATTTATCATATTTGTCAACCTCTGCGGATGGCAAACTTATTAGTTGTAAAAAAAAACACTAGACATAAGAGTAAATAACTTTTTTTAAAGGGGATTTAAATTGACGCACACGAAGACAACTTTAAAGCTTTACAACTATATAAATTTTGATCCTATCCAGTATGCACATACTCATATTATATGTTGTTTTGTTGGTTTTTTTGCGATTGTTGAAATACGTTTCAATTATTTAAGTATTTCATGTTTCATTGACTTCACAAAATACACAGAAGGCAAATGATATGATCGATGATAAATATTTTTAGATGATGGTACGTCAACCTTTTTTTTTCGGAATGTTGATATATTTTTTTTCCCGTTTTGCTAAGCTTACGTGGGAAAATAGAGTATTTGAGTCCTCATAATAATAAACCTATAGGTCTTTTTTTATTAACTTTTAGAATGTAGAAACGATTTCGACTAGTTATATACTTATTGATATAGTGTAGAAAAATGTTGACATGAAATCACTGGCAAATAAGTTATTTTGTACTTAACATAAACTTAAGCTTTGTCCCAAAATTTCCACATGAGTATAGAACAAGCCATAGTAGTTAGAAACATGTCACAAAAATTAGTTGCCGTAAGTATATGTTTAAATCACAATTTCAAAATGATATTCTCCTTATATTATCAGATTTTACCATAATGTGATACCCAACAAGGTGAAACGTACTTAAGATCGATCTGTACGAATGAGTAGGATGATCTGGTCCCACTTTCCTAGAGTTATACACTGAAAATTTAAATTAGTCACTATGACTATTCAGTTAGTCTAATATTAGCCGAAAGGTAGTCAACAGCATATATGACTACTAATCTAGTCATTGTGACTACCTGCACGGTCAATTTGACTATGTTAGTGGTCACAGCACCACGTGGTGTAGAGTATCGGTTTTCACGCGCACTCTTTCGCGTTCCCTTTGTTCCCAAGATTATTTTGTCAATTAAACCAATTGTTTAAAGTAAGTATCATGTATATATGTTTTAATTCTAACTTACAAAAATTAAATTTAAGAAAAAGAAGTGGAACGAATGTAATATCGGCACATGTTGACATAATGACAATAAAAAAGGGGGAGATATGTATACGGGATATCAATTTTGATACACATTCAACGTATTGTCGATTGAAAAGGGTATTTAGCGATATTTTTTTTATCTGACCAAAAACTGTTAAAAATAAACACTGCAATCGATATTCACAACAATAAATTAAAAAAAAAAACCTATGGGGGGCTGTCAAGATCCTGGTGCTTACATTACAATGATGTGATATAGGATGGGTGGCTGTCAAGATCCTGGTGCTTACATTACAATGTTGTGTTATAAGATGGGTGGCTGTCAAGACCCTGGTGCTTACATCACAATGTTGTGGTATAAGATGGGTGGCTGTCAAGATCCCGGTGCTTACATTACAATGTTGTGGTATAAGATGGGTGGCTGTCAAGATCCTGGTGCTTACATTACAATGTTGTGGTATAAGATTGGTGGCTGTCAAGATCCTGGTGCTTACATTACAATGTTGTGATATAGGATGGGTGGCTGTCAAGATCCCGGTGCTTACATTACAAAATAATGGTATAAGATGAGTGACTACATCACTAGATCAAAGATTTTAAAATTTGTATTTTTCTTTTAACTTTTAACATGACTGATATATACTTGTTTATTGTTATATTTTAGCTTCTAAAATGATATAATTATATTTTTCAGCAAATGAAGACATTGCTATTTGTATGAGCACAGCTGAGAGATTTTTGACCAGAGAGAATATTACACTGACACATGCAGAGTTGATACCGACAAAATATCTTAAATCAACACTTCAAATTTTGACATACTGAAAATGTATAAAATATATATTTAAGTTGGGATATCATAATGTATGTAACAATGAGTTTATAATAAATACATTTTCTTTATTTGATTTTTAGACTTTTAATATATGTCACTGAGTAATGGTAACACATGGAAACTTAAGATATAGGAAGGTTTTGAACATTGAGCACTTTGTGGTCCTATACTGTTGTCATTGTTAGTATTGCTGCTGTGGTATTTTTATGATATTATATTCCAGATGCATTTGTCAATCCTATGGAAGAGAAACAACATACAGCAGAATAACAGAAGAAATGAATCACAAAAGTACAGAACGGATAGAAACACACACAAAGTAAAATGGTAGAACAAAAAACACAACACAAATTAAAATAACAGTCTAACAGTCGTGACTATTCACAGTAATCATGTCGACTAACCAACATGGTCACTTTCGACCATTTCAATAAGTCATATGGACTGCATTCAATTGTCAAACTGACAAATGTGCATAGTCAATTGAACCATCCAATTCGTCATAACGAGTATAACATATAGTCATTTTGACTCCCTAACATAGTCATAATTACCACCCTACTCAGTCAAATGTGACTAACCATCTAGTCAAACGACTAAGAGCATAGTCAAAATGATTAAAGTGCATTGTCATCTAGAGGACAGTCAAAATGACCAATTAAATTGGTCAAATTGACTAATTTAGGTTTTCAGTGTATCCATTTTTTCTCAGAAAGTTGGACCCTAAACAGTATGCAACTCATATGACGTGGTCTGTTTGGATAAATTGAACGTTTATACACGAGTCTGTTGTTTTCGGTCAGTAAACTCGTTGATTTACGTATAAATTTGCAATCAGAAAATGTAAGGAGCATCAAGAGTTGCAACTCCAATTTGATTATCAAAATATCAATATACTTAACTTCAATATCTTTTGAAGTATCAACTTTTTATCAAAAAATATTCGTAAAAAAACTCTTTTGGCTACACATTTTTTCAAAATTTGGGCAGAGGTTCTCTGTATCCAGCCTAATTCGACTGGTCTGGTGGCATAAGCCAACTAAAATTAGTAAAAAAAAAACACATTTGAAATTGATCATCAATCATATCAATATAAAAAGCTTCAATATCTATGCTATCACCCTTGTATTAACTCCGTAACTCATCTATATCCTTTTTGGGACCTCATTGTTAAAGCAGAGTCTTGTATATCGAATGCACCTTTTTCAATTGTAGACAACATTACATTATTTATCATCAATTCAACGTGAGGAGTTAGCTACAGAGACAGAAAATATCTCATGTAAACTTAATGCAGACGATGCGAATTACTTAACTTCAACATTCTGTTTTTATGTTAGATTTACGTTTTAATGTACTTTTATAAATTTTGACTTGGATGGAGAGTTGTCTCATTGGCACTCATACCACATCTTCTTATATCTATTTGTATAAACAGCAGCTCCCGTTTCGTACGATTCGTCAAGTTACGCTTTCGTACGTTCGTTCGTCAATATCCTGGTCATTTCTAATATCATCTATACGACTATCCCTGTGTTGTCATCTGTTGGTTAATTCGGTCAAGGCATTCATTGTGTTTATTAAATGCGTATTAGTATTCTCTATACTACAGACGACAGACACACAAATGACACCCTTTTCTGCCACTGACAGCACACCAACAACACCTTTGTGTACGCATGGCAGAAAAATAAAACTCAAACGCAAATTCAAATTTGCCGACAGCCCGTCGTACGTGATGGACGCCAGATATAATTGTATATAATATATAATCGTGACATATCATCAAATAAAACATATAAATCAGTAATCAATTGGCATTTTCATTCACCAATCATATTATTATGTACAAAACACAGCAAAATATTGGCAGCTGTACGTTTAATAAATTACCCCTCATTGATAGCCAAGGCCGACCAGGAAAAACCGTATTACGGAAACCTGTATCCGAATCAATGCTCGAGCCTATCTCAGGATAATGACGTCGGACCTCGTCGGTTCAAACAGTTAACGAAAAGCAAAAATATTTGTCTAACAATAGATATATAAACATCATTTAAAATAATGGAGTTTACTCGGTCAATACGACGGCTAGAAGTGAAGTTACCACACAAAAAAACACCTTATATATGACCACAACTCAGCCCCCTGATTGGATAGATTTACATCGGCCTACCGAAAATTAACGATTCCATACCGAGAATACAACATTTTCCCGCTATACTGATCGAAACGCGGGAAAATATTATTATCACATGTAAACACAGTTTAATAATGATTTCTCGTTATACCATGCAAAATGCAAAGTTCAGGTACGCCGAGTAACATATTGAACCTT